CATGCCCCCGGACCCCCCTAAAGGGGCTGTGTTCCCCTTGGGGCTAAGCCCCCCTTGTTCTTGAAACCTAGTGACGCCCCTGGCATTCTTCATGAGGTTTTGTGCATGTTTAGACCCTAAGAATCAGCATTGTTTTATTGGCGTACTGCACGATGCCACAAAAAAGCAATTTGCGGAAAATTACAAAGTTCGCATGACAGCATTATGAAGGCCTAAACCAGGGGTGGCCAACCAGTCAGACCCTAAGAGCACAAACACACGCGCACACACGGCACACGCGCACACTCACTCGCGCACGTTTGTATGCACGCCACGACGAGCAACAGCCGAACATAAATGAAACCTAAAGACACAAGCCCCCCCCCCCATGCCCCCCCATTTCCTCCTCCTACTTGGGACCAGTCCGCTGGCTCTTGGTCATTGCGATCGACGTATTGGGCACCTCTGCCTTAAAAACAGGGGTAATTCGCTGACTAGCTGAGCACTTAGCACTTCACTCATTGTCTGCGCTTGAGCGGTGATGCAGTCATTTGATTGGTTGCCCTCTATGTCAATCAAGTAACGGTATTGCTGATAGGCTGACGTAGTACGTTCCGCGTTTTAAGCACCGTTGTTTGAATGGCAGTGATCTCGCCGAGGCGTTTTCGACAATTGTCGTGTGAAAGCCCGGGAGCATGCGGCTCGTGAGGCGTGGGTTGACCAACCCTGGCCTAAACGCTCTTCAGAGCAAATATGATGTAAATCTGGTCATCCTGCTCAGAGAAAAACATCAAATGATAAAACGTGTTTCCTTTAGCCAGTAGGTGACGCTACCACTATGATAAAAAATAACTTTGTAGATGTCTTCAGGCCTGGACTATCACCAAATGTGATCAATCTTGAGAAGATATGACCATGTGGGTCAGGTCACAGCAAATTTTGTAGTCAAGGTGATGCTGATTTTGACTGTCTGTGGTAGTAAAAAGTACAGGTCTGTCAAATCCTGATGTTACTTTCATGTCGAAGCAATACAACGAAAAAGTAACATTTGGTGATATTAGAAGAGCCACTATAGTCAGATGGTAATGGTAAAAGTAAAATGTTAGATTACTTGTTACTTGAAAACATGCACATTTTGGAGTCGCCATCACTCACCCTAACCCGACAAAATTTGTGGCCAAACTTTTGGAAGAGTTGTTGAAATTGAGTCTCAGCCGGAGCTGGACCGGGCCCAGCAGGAAGGCGAGCCCCCACGACTGATGACCATCAAAGTCTACAAATTTGAAACAATGTCCTAAGTCGCGCTGGGGAGGCTTCATCCCTGGTGTTCAATGAGAAGAGGGTCCATATTTTCCAGCATTTCACACCAGATGTCGCCATGCGATGGGTGACATTCACACAGGCAGAAAGAGGGCTTAATTCCAGTGCTAATGTGAAGTTACATCCATTGTCTTCCATGGTATATAATTCTCCAGTTCATTCTACATCGAATGTGGGTACCCACTTTCGTAGTCTTTTGCCACACTGGCTAAGAGCAGAGACAATGCTCCAGTCATGCATGGATCACTGTTACTTTCCTGCACAGAAATCTTTCCATGAGAAATGTGAGTGCACTACAAGTGTGCGAGAAGAGGCTCTTTGCTTGGCAGCAGATGAGGGTTGTGTTCATGGCCACAACAGCATAAACAGTGCATTTATAAATGTGCTGGCTTACGTGTGTCTGCAAAATTTCGAACACCTAGTCTAACATGCAAAGCGCCGTACATGCAACGGTCACAAAAATAGAGCGCAACAGTTCTGTCCGATATTTTTCTGTCTTTCCACATATTATTGCATTTATTTGAAAACGTATTTAATGTATTTACAAATAGAAAACAGAAAAATGTTGACAGAACACTGAAAAAGAGTAGCCGTTCAAATAGGTGATTTTTTTTTATGTGCCGTCAATAAAAATAAAATAGTGAAAAAAGAAAATAAATTATAGCCACATAATTTCACTTAGTAAGCTTACTAAGACAGAGTACACTCAACAATGTAGGTGAATCATTGTTTGGTAACACACAAAGAAACAAGTAATAGGAGCAGTATAAATTGTCTTAGTCAACAACATGACCTTCTTGTCATTCATTAAAAAATAAATTATACAAATTGGAATGCCATGAAATGACCCTAATTACCATTGTTACCAGTATGATTTAATTTAGCAAAGCCACTTATGTATTCACAGTACAATGAACAATGTCTTTATGGCTTTTTAAGTCTGTATGTTTGTGTAAACACATTTGCATTGTCTTTATGAATATTTTGTCTTTCAGTGTTTGACGCATTCACAGTACATATATTGCATACCTCCAGACATGAAGTTTTTTTTGTCCAGTCAGTCAGGCCACTTGACAATCAGCGCAACACAAGAGAATACCATAATTTTTGCACTCGGAGCCGCAACTTTACTGGTCAACTTTCCTCACGCTTTAAAGTTCATTTGTGGATGAATTAATGCCGCCAATAGATTTAACCGTCGTCTCGTCACGTCTGACCAATGACATTATGGAGTATGCTACAGTGGACCAATAAAACTATCTGAGTCCATGTTCATACTGAATATTCAGGTCAGTCATTTGCATAATTCAGCGTGAGACCTGTATGATGATATCTTTGGCCAAAAAATGTCAGCCAAAGAGTGTTTAAAATGCCCTACATGTGATACACAACATTGGTGCTAGCCATGAGATTTGTGCCCTGGCATTTGTAACTATTTTCCCTTCGGCCAAAAACATTTATGATTACAGCACTAGGTAGCTCGTTCAGCCAGAGACTGTTACACCCGCGCTGCAAGAAGGAGAGATACCGCCGCTCGTTCCAACCGACTGCTGTCAGGCTGCTGAATAAAAAATAAAATGACGTGGAAGACAATTGTAAATAGCACTGCGCCCCTATCCATATCTGTATTTATATTGCACTTAATTGAACGGTGTTTGTTTTTCTTTTCTTCTTTCTTCTTTCTACCCATTACCTTGCTGCTGTGGACTGTAAATTTCCCCAGTGTGGGACAAATAAAGGATATCTTAAATATTAAATATCTTAAATTTACTAACTCGAAACTCATACTATTCTGGAGCAAATCTGTTGGCCCTATTTATTCATATCAACTCTCGTGAACTTCGAAAGGCTTGGACTACAGTGTGGTGAAGAGGACTGCACAAGCTCTTTAACGAATTTCAACGATGGAACTAGCCTTGTTCAGCATTGTTTGGAAAAAAAACCTGACTGGTGTTTATGCTAATTAAAAGTTTCAAAAAAGAACATCCTCTTAACCTCTCTTTGCAAGAACAGTATCCCATGTTATAACATGGAGACACGTGACTAATAAACGGAATACAGTATATGTAAATATTTGTTTTTATTACTGACTTTAGCTGCTGCGGCTTTTAATCAGGCATGTAGTGTGGAAATATGGTACACTCCGTGTGATTTGCAAATCCCATAAACCTGTGCTTTCAAGAGGCATTTTTTTAATTACAATTGGGCTGATGCCTGAATACTGGTGGAATGTTTTTAAAGTTTGGAGATGGCTTTTTTTTTAAATACTGCATACTCCATCCCTTCATATGAAAGGGTTTCTTTATCCATCTATGATTCGAAAAATCTTTGGTCAACATTTGTATTCTACAACAGAACTGTAAAGAAGGACTTATACATATATCACAACAAACAAAATAAATTACTGGTCAAGTAACAACACAACAGATCTTTGATTTTTTTTAAAATCTATTGTCAAAATTAACCACATGAAATATAAACGTTTGATTATTACATTATGCCCATATTTGTACTAAATATGTGACTAATTGAACACAAAAACACCAGGATATCTTTACATACATACATACACACACACACACACACACACACACACACACACACACACACACACACACACACAAACATGACGGTCGACTGGTTAGCACATCTGCCTCACAGTGCAGAGGTGCAGGGTTTGATTCCACACTTCCTGTGTGGTGTTTGCATGTTCTCCCGGTGCCTGCGTGGGTTTTCTCCAGGTACTCCCGCATTCCAATAAAACATGCATAACAGGTTCATGGATCACTCTAAATTGTCACAAGTGTGATTGTGAGCGCGAATGGTTGTTTGTCTATGTGTGCCCTGCGATTGTCTGGCAACCAGTTCAGGGTCAACTCTGCCTACTGCCTCAAGATAGCTGTATGGACTTCAGCACGCCTGCGACCCTCCTGGGGATGAGCGAATTAGAAAATGGATGGATGGCTGTCTATATAATGTGTGTGTGTGTGTGTGTGTGTGTGTGTGTGTGTGTGTGTGTGTGTGTGTGTGTGTGTGTGTGTGCATGCGTGCGTGCGTGCGTGCGTGCGTGCGTGCCATTTCTTACTACAAATTTATGTGTATTGAAATTTGGACCATTTTAAGTGCACAAGATTTGCACTGGCACATGTATTGTGCAGTTGTTCTTTATACACAGACAATTGTACTTTCATCGTTTTCCTTTCACCTAAACATTTGACAAGGTGGACTACACTTAAAAGTTCAAATTGGTGAGCCTCACAGTTGCTCTAAAAATGAACCACATAAGGATGAGCAGACAGAATGAAATCTGCCACAATCACTATCCCTGGTCTAAAGATGCACCTGTGGTAACAACCAGGTTTTTGTGGAGGTTTGGGTTCTGGCTATGCCTGTTTCTGCTGCGTACTGAAGAAAATGTCATGTAACACCCAGGAACTTTACATTTGTGAAGCAATTTGAGATGCACAGTCTTGTAGTGGGCCCTGAATGTCCCTTTGTTGCAGTAGACTTTTTGGCACAAATGGCAGGTTATTGGCGACTCACTTTCTCCTGCCTGAAGTCCATTCTGTGCCTCACCACCATAAATCAAGATCTCGCTTCCCCCATGCAGCAATGTCCCTCCTTGAGGCCTCCCTATACCTACATCACAGCTCTCACCACTGTCCTCCATATGGAGCGCCATGACATCCTCCTCTGCCCCATCTCCTTCCTCATGGTCAACTCCATCTGAGTCCCAGCAGGATCGACCACTGTTGGTGCAGTGATTTGTAGCACAGGAAGAGGTGCTTAAATCCAGTACGATCCCATCCTCACCGCTTTCCCCTCTTAATCCCGGAATGCCATCTTTGTGAGATGTTTTATTGTGTTCTAAAGGTAAAGGATTTTTTCTGATGGCGTACACCAAACCCATGTGATTGTGTCCTCTGAAGATCACGGACTTCTGGCAGGTTGTGTCTTGAAGAGACAGAGCTTTGTCTGACAGATCCTTGTCGTGGTTCCTGGCAACAGAGTCTCTCACTTGGCAGTGAGTTGAGGGAGTGTAGATGAGTTTTGTTTTGTTTTCATGGACTTTGGTCATCAGCTTGTGGTGAAGGTTGAGATTTCCACTATGCCTGCAGAAAAAAATACCATCATTTACTCATCATTTTTGCAAAACTTTAGTCCAATGCCTAATGCAGGCATGTCCAGCTCCGGGCCTGGAAGGCCACTGTCCTGCCTGTTTTCCAGCTCTCTTGGCTGCAACAGACCTGATTCAGATGATCAGATAATCATCCAGCTCTTTTTTTTTCACTTGCAAGGAGCTTTTCCATGGTGATGGAGGCTTGGAGTTTTTAAACATTGATCACAAACAGCTAAAGTCATAGTAATGAGTTACAGATTTTTAATGATTTATTTTGGGGAGTGGAGGGGGGATTGTTTCAGGCGTGTTATTTGAAAATGTACATTTGATTGTGTATTTTATTGCATGTGACACACCATTGGTCAACCGAACACTCACCTGGTTTGCAACATGGGTTGCAAACCTGGCTACAACATGGGTTCTGTCATGAGCACAGTATTCTGATTAAAGTGCTTTTATTATATTTATTCAAAGCAGATTGCAAAAACACATGCTCCTTCAAAGTAGCCAGTTCGATAAACCACGCCAAGGCGATTCCAATGAGGATGTTGGTGCAGAGGGCTGGGAGGGGCGCTGGAAAAAGACTTTGGCCCACACCTGCGCGACGTGCCGGAACCGAAGCGATGATACTCGCTTGGCTCCGCCAAAGCTTCACCAAGCCAGGAGGGCCAGGAGCGACACGGGTTGCAAATAAAAGACAGAAAACTTCAGCGTACACCCGAGCGATGGTCTCGGACTGAACCGATGCTGCCCGCTTGGCCCCGCCAGAGCTGCGCCATGCTGGGCAGGCAGGGAAAGGCGTGGGTTACAAGCAAAGGGGAGATCATCTCGCGGTCACCTGCGTGAAGGGCCACACTGAGCCGTTGCCACCCACGGCCCCGACTGAGCTGCATTGCGCCCGCACAAATGCGGCTCCGATGAAGAGGAGGGTGTGGACTGCCAGGAGGGCCGCGGGTGTCAAGCTAAGGGCAGAAAAACCTCGACGGAGACCTGCACAGACTAAACTGATGCTGCGCGCTTCATCGCACTGGATCTGCGCTGCTTCCAGCAGAAAAAAGTCGGTGCACCCCGCGTGACGTGCCGAGCAATGCTCCTCGCTAGGCCCCACCGGAGCTGCACCTTTCCATGAGGGTCAGGATGGGCGCGGGCTGCAGGCAAAGGGCAGAAGACTGCGGCGCACACATGCGCGACGGTGCAGGATGGAACCGATGCCACCCACTTGGCCCCTCCAGAGCTGTGCCGTGCAGTTGGCAAGCAAAAAGGAACATTTCACGCCCACTCACACAGAGTGTCGGACAGAGCTGTTTTTGCACACGGCGCCGCCTTAGCTGCGCCGCTGCCGCGCCAAGGCGATGACCGTATTGGCCCGAATACAAGACTGTGTTTTTTGCATTGAAATAAGACTGAAAAAGTGGGGGTCATCATATTCGGGGTCTATACATTATACCCATTCACGACGCCAGATGGCGCCAGATATCATTAAAGTGAATGCTGAACTTGACTCCCCAGGCCAAAGTGAACCCCTGCCATGAAGAATAAAAATAAAAATAGCGGTAGCATGAAGAAGAAAAATAAAAAATAGCGGTAAGAAGGAAAAGAGAAGAAAATAATAGAAGAGATAACAGAAAATGGAGAAACGTAGTGAAAATCTGGAGAAAAGTGGGTCGAAGATCGGCCAGGTTAACCGGCAGCTGAGGAGAAGTTGTGATGTAATTTACATTTCAAAAACCAGAAGCCATTCATTTACGAATGTGATTGCACTTCAGATTTGAATGAGGCAAAATAACATGCTTTTTCTCTCAAACATATTGTTATCATCATTTGTTTCAGATGTACTGTAATTATTTTCTGTACAAACATTAATTTGGTGTTCAAAAAGTCTTTTTTCAAGCCTGAGTCTTGAAAAAGGGGGGGTCGTCTTATAATCAGGGCCGTCTTATATTCGGGCCAATACGGTACAACGAGGATGTTGGTGCGGGGGGCTGGGAGGGGCGCAAGTGTCAAGAAAAGGGTAGAAGACTTCGACGCACACGGATGTGCCGGGATAGAAGCGATGCTGCCCGCTTGGCCCCGCCGGAGCTTCTTCAAGCCAGGAGGGCCAGGAGAGACGCGGATTGCAAGTACAGTAAAGGGCAGAAAACTTTAGCGCACACCCGAGCGACGGTCCAGGTCTGAAACGATGTTGCCCGCTTGGCCCCGCCAGAGCTGCGCTGTGCCTGGTGGGCGGGGAAAGGCACGGGTTACAAGCTAAAGGGAGAATCATCTCGCGTCCCCCCGCGTGAAGGGCCTGGCCGAGGCGTTCGATCATTGTTTAAATGTGTTCAGTTCACAATTGTATAAATATGAAGTTATCACACTGCACCACTTCTTTCCATAATTCCTGATTCTAAGTCCCAGTCTTCATCTACTTTCTGTGACATATTCAAGCTTGTCTTCATCTTACCGGTCTCTGCTCCTGCGTGATGGAAATGTTGCACTGCAGCCATTCACTGTGCAGATGTGCAGCTCCTTCAGGTGCACATTTTGGTAGTGCATCTTGACTCCGTCGTGGTTCTTAAAAGTCTTTCCACAGATCTCACAATGGGGAAACTGGAAAGCAGAGGGGTCAAAGTCTGACAAACTTGAGTTGTCATGACAATTTACACAGGACTCAGAGGGTTCTTTCTTGTGCTCTGAAAGTTGAAGTGCATTCCCATTAGTCAGTGTATGCTCACACCACTTCATCTTGGAAACGTGATTATGTTCATGGAGTGTATTTTTCCATTCTTTGTCATCAATTTCCTCATTGACGCCTGGTTCCTGACTGGCCAATTGGTTGTCGCAAAGGCTCTTGATCAACTTGTTTTTTAAAGGAGAGGATGAACTCATGGTGGTTGCGGTTTCCCCTTGCTGTATGTTTTCATTTTTGTGCTCATCCTTGAACATCCCTGTGGTTTGGTCCAATAAACACTTGCTACATTTCCTTTCTTGATCCTCATCAAAATACACTCTTTTCTCTTCGTGCTCAATCCCACCTCCCAGGTAAATAATGTTCCCTTCTGCTCTGTGACACCCGCATAATTCTTTGTCTCCATTCAGTAAAGGATGGTCCTGCTCAAAGTTACTCCCCTGATCAATCTGCTCATCTTGCTCCAACATCTCCTTTTCTATCTTTATCGGCATACTTGACTTTCGAGGCTTTTTTTTGGGTATGGGGTCAGCATTGCAGATGTTAGGAACAGTGGTAGGTTTTACAGACACCGAAGATGATTGTGGGGGCAGTGAGGGTATAGTTTCTGGGGTGTTGGCAAGTTCTGCCGGTGTAACAAGGCTGCGGAAGAAAGGCAGGACTGGCTGCACTGTCTTTCCATTTGGGAAAAAAATGCCACTCTGTCCTCTACTGGGGAAAGAGCCGATGTTAATCTTTGGCCCACCATCCACTCGGTTCACCATGTAGCTGGAAACTGATTGGTGACTTTCTGCGGAGGAGATTGGAATAGAAGTGATGTATTCAGACATTTTCTCTCCAGGATAGCATTCTTCAGGAGGTAAGTTGTCTCTCATGTCTTTGTCTCGATTGTTGCGATTCATGGGCATGTGAAGTCGTGGGTTAGGATTGGCACTGTGGCGGTTGCGACTACGCAGTGAACTGAATACCATGTTGCATCCTTCAATTGTACACTTGTGCTTGATCTTAAGGTGAACTGCATTGTAATGGATTTTCAGTGTGCCTTTGTCATAGAACGTCTTCTCACAGGCACTGCAAAACACACGGCCCTTCTTCAGGGATCCTCCACCCCCACTTCCTTTTGAAATCCCCAATCCAATGTTTCCATCACACATCCTACCAAAAGGTATCATTTGAATCGCATCAGAGGTCGTACAGTGTTTCGGGGGTCCATCAGTGTAGTTGGCGCCGGTTGAAAAATCTTCCACTTCAACCTTTGTTGAGGAAAGACATTCCACCGGTTGGTCTGGAACACCAGTGAATGCGACGGAGCTGGAAGCTGTATGGCTCGTGTCTGCTGAATCTGGAAGATGGAGGGGGTTCTCAGTGACTGGATAGTCCTGTTCTTGATCACCTTGCTTCTGACTCTGATGCTCTACTGACCCTTGGCATGTCTTCTGGTAATGTTGGTGAAGCTGCTGGCATGTACCTGCTGGGGAGCCAAGAAATGGAGCTGGCATAGAATTTAGCAGATGGAAAGGCAGCATGAAGGCCATGCTTTTCATGAAAGTCTCAAAGTAGTGCATGTTGTGATCTTTCAACTTCTCTGCTTTGATTGTAGACAAGTTGGCAGGAGGGCATGGGGTATTTCGTTCAATGAAAGTGTGAATATCTGAGATGGTGCAAGTGCTGGGAACTAGTACTGCTTGTCCTTCCTTGTCTTCTCTTGTCATGAGCTCCACGATGGATTTGGTCTCACCGAAGCGCCGAAACTGCTGCAGGGTGGCAATCTCCTCCTCAAATGTCATGATGGCCCAACAATCCAGTACTTTCCCTGCTACATCCTACAGACAAAACAGGGGAAATGTGATAGCAAAGTAGGACAAGGAAGCAAAGCATGTATGAATTGATATAGCATGAAAATAAGAGATCCGCCTTACTTTCATTCTCATGAAGAAAGCTATTTCAACATTAGCTACTCATTCATATTTATAGTTCAGGGTGGATGACAAACTATGTCCTAGACAGGACTGCAGAATAAAATACAATGTTGGCACAACCACAAACCTTGAGAAACTTCATAATATTGCTGTGCAATCATTTAAATTATCAAGAGATACCCACTCTCTGTTGATTTCTGATTCCTGGATAACCACTTGAATACTGAGTCACTGGTGAGTTCCTTTAATTTCATTAGGTCCTCATCAGTGTGTGAATGTGCAAATATTACTCATCTTTAGCCCTTTCACTGAAACAATATATTGTATAGGGTTTGCTTTGATTAATCAGTTTACAATTCCCACGAAAAATAATTCTTTAAAATTCAGGTATTCTGTATTCTAAGCAAACAGTTCCCTCGAATAATAATTCTTTAAAATACAGGTATTCTGAATTCTAAGCAAACAGTTGGGCGAGTAAAAGTTTGCCTGTGAGTAAGTCTATGTATTAATTGCAGTAGAAATAATAATATCAGCATTTGACACTCATGAAAACACACCCTTGGAGTAACAGATCTGTTTAAAATCCTGAGAATGTAAGAAACATGAATTCAAGGTAATACTGTTATTGGATGTTGAGGCGGTAAAGTGGTAAAATAAGTCAAATATCTGAGTAAGTCGGTGTAGAAAAATTGCAATATTAATGAAAATACAAGGAGTAAAAATTGATGCTGGTGAAAAGAGTCACAGATTTATGTTGAAACCGTTGGGAATGTAAGAAACATGGAGGTCAATGTCAAATGTAAATGATGCAGAGGTCGGGTGTTCGATTCCGGCCCCGGCCTTCCTGTGTGCAGTTTGCATGTTCTCTTTGTGCCTGCATGGGTTTTCTCCGGGTACTCCGGTTTCCTTTCACATTCCAAAAACATGTATGGTTGATTAATTGATCACTCTACATTGTCCATAAGTGTGTGTGTGTGTGTGTGTGTGTGTGTGCGTGCGTGCGTGCGTGCGTGCGTGCGTGCGTGCGTGCGTGCGTGCGTGCGTGTGTGTGTATATGAGAATGGTTGTTTGTCTCTTTGTGCCCGGCAATTGGCAGGGAGCTGGGATAGGCTCCAACACGCCGGCGACCCTCGTAACAATAAACGGATCGGAAGATGGCTGGATGAATGAGTAACAAAAACAAATTGAACGGGAAAATGATATTTACGAAGTTTAGTTTCAATTGTGGAGGCTGACAAATCTGTAAAAATGTAAAAAAGTAATATGTGAAGACGTGACATGATCAGATGTCACGTAACTTATCCGCTTTCTGTATAATCGTATAGCGAAATATACTAGTGCAGTATAGTTAAATATAACTGCGTGTGTGTGTGTGTGTGTGTGTGTGAGACACACACACACACACACACACACACACACATCGATGCTCTAATTTTCTGGTCCATCCCCTGTCCTCCGTCCGCGACCTGGGCACCCTTCCGTCATTCTCCCTCGTCCATATTCATAAAATAATTGTCCCAATTTATCCTCATCCTTTTAAAGCTCTTCCATCCTTACATTCATGCATGCCACCGTGGGAGTGAAGCTAACCGCAGTGGTTTCATAATTCATAAACATTAAAGTTCATGAGCTGTGTTCACCCCCCTGCTTCTTGTTCTCCTGTCACTGGGGTACCTCAATATGGACATGTTCCCCTTGAAGAAGACCAGCTTGCCAAAGCTGGCATTGGCCAATGCGGTCCTCTTTGGCAAGAGGATGTTGCCGGCTGTCGAAAAAAAACCCTCCCTGCAGCAGTGGAGCTAAGGGAGTGGGATGTTGGATTTAATAAATAAGTCCACCCACACCTCCCAGTGCTTCGCCAGCGCGTTCCATATGCAGTACGTGTGGTTGGGTGACTAGTGACGTGTTTGAGGTGTTCCAAGGCAATCTTAGCCCATTTCAGCCTAGTAAACTGAAATTAACCTTGTGTTGGCATTGAAAACATATAGAACGTCACACACAACCGGTTCAGGGTGTCCCCTGCCTACTGCCCGAAGACAGCTTGGCCAAATTTCAAAAAAAAAAAAAAAAGCTTGAACATAGTAGTTGCCACCCTGCCATCAAGAATGAAGAAGCTCCTCAGTGAAGCACAAGCCCAGCTATTTTCTTTCTTTTTTTACAAATAGTTCTAGAGATACCACTACAAAGTGAGTTCTGAAACTTAATGATTCAGACACTGCACTCTCTTTTATCCATCCATCCATCCATCCATTTTCCACCGCTTATCCGGGGTCGGGTCGCAGGGGCAGCAGCTTTAGGAGGGAAGCCCAGACTTCCCTCTCCCCAGCCACTTCTTCGAGCTCTTCCTGGCGGATCCCGAGGCGTTACCATGCCAGCTGGGTGACATAGTCTCTCCAGCGTGTCCTGGGGCGTCCTCGGGGTCTCCTGCCAGTGGGACATGCCCGGAACACCTCACCAGGGAGGCATCCAGGAGGCATCCTAATTAGATGCCCGAGCCACCTCATCTGGCCCCTTTCGATGTGGAGGAGAAGCGGCTCTACTCTGAGCCCCTCCCGGATGACCGAGCTTCTCATCTTATCTCTAAGGGAGAGCCCGGATACCCTGCGGAGAAAACTCATTTCGGCCGCTTGTATCCGGGATCTCGTTCTTTCGGTCACGACCCATAGCTCGTGACCATAGATGAGGGTTGGGACGTAGATCGACCGGTAAATTGAGAGCTTTGCCCTTTCGCTCAGCTCCTTCTTCACCACGTGTGCATCGCACCGGATGCTGCACCGATCCGCCTGTCGATCTCTCGCTCCCTCCTGCCCTCACTCGTGAACAAGACCCCAAGATACTTAAACTCCTCCACTTGGGGCAAGATCTCCTCCCCGACCCGGAGAGGGCACTCCACCCTTTTCCGACTGAGGACCATGGTTTCAGATTTGGAGGTGCTGATCCTCATCCCAACCGCTTCACACTCGGCTGCGAAACGCTCCAGTGAGAGTTGGAGAGCCCTGCTTGAAGGAGCCAACAGTACCACATCATCCGCAAAAAGCAGAGATGCAATACTGAGGCCCCCAAAACGGACCCCCTCAACGCTTCGGCTGTGCCTAGAAATTCTGTCCATAAAGGTGATGAACAGAATCGGCGACAAAGGACAGCCTTGGCGGAGTCCAACCCTCACTGGAAATGATTCCGACTTATTGCCGGCAATGCGAACCAAACTCTGACATCGGCAGTATAGGGACCGAACAGCCCGTATCAGGGGGCTCGGTACCCCATACTCCCGAAGCACCCCCCACAGAACTCCCCGAGGGACACGGTCAAATGCCTTCTCCAAGTCCACAAAACACATGTAGACTGGTTGGGCAAGTTCCCACGTACCCTCGAGGACCCTGCTAAGGGTGTAGAGCTGGTCCACAGTTCCACGGCCAGGACGAAAACCACACTGCTCCTCTTCAATCTGAGGCTCGACTTCCCGACGGACCCTCCTCTCCAGCACCCCTGAATAGACCTTACCAGGGAGGCTGAGGAGTGTGATCCCTCTGTAGTTGGAACACACCCTCCGGTCCCCCTTGTTAAAAAGAGGGACCACCCCCCCGGTCTGCCAATCCAGAGGCACTCTCCCCGATGACCACGCGATGCTGCAGAGGCGTGTCAGCCAGGACAGCCCCACAGCATCCAGAGCCTTGAGGAA